TGAAGCATAATTCTTGCAGGGATTTATGAAGAGGGAGTTGTGAGGGAGGTTTTCTTACAACATCTTTGGTGCGTCTTGGTTTTTCACTGGTCCTCTTTCTTCTCTTCCTCCTCCTCCTCCTCCTCCTCCTCCCCCTTCTCCTCCTCCTCCTCCTCCTCCTCCTCCTCCTCGGTCGTCACTGTGGCTCAAGTCCGCAGCGGGAGGCTCAGTAACTTGAGTTTGTAGCATTGCCCCCGCCCGTTTTGTAGTGCAGGCCAGACTTGTCGCCTGATGCATCACTGCGGTTTCATCCCGCACGGCTCCCACTGACGAGTTTACGGCCTGCCCGTGTCGCCGACACGTATTCGGCCGCCTCGGCCTCTCGCTCCTGTTGCTTGGGACCCGCGGAGGGGTCCTGAACTCCGCGAGTGGGGGTCGGCTGAGGCTTGGGGCACCGAGGGCTGGACTTCCGTCGCGACTCGCGGCCCACAGTGTGGTTGTGTGTGTGTGCTTGTGCGTGCTTGCGTGCTTGTGTGTGTGTGTGTGTGTGTGCGTGTGTGTGTGTGTGTGTGTGTGTTGTGTGTGTGTGTGTGTGTGTTGTGCGTGCGTGCGTGCGTGCGTGTGTGCTTGTGTGCGTGTGTGCGTGTGTGCGTGCGTGCGTGCGTGCGCGCGCGCGTGCGTGCCTGCGTGCCTGCGTGTGTGTGTGTGTGTGTGTGTGTGTGTGTGTGTGTGTGTGTGTCTGTTTGTGTGTGTGTGTGTGTGTGTACAAGAGAAAGGCTAAACAACATTTGTTCTGCAATGCCTGTATCCACACGTTGTCGGAGCCGAAGCTTGTCGTGTCAGGAGTGCGGTCAGGACTTGGCGGGGAGTGACTGGGTGCATCTTTCATGAGGTGTCTGGAGGCTAGGGACGTAAAAGACAAAGGCATTGACGCCCAAAGTGGAGGCAACCACCTGCCTGGACTGCCGAGGCCACCTGAGACCCTCTCCCAGGTCCAGTCCATTTTGGAAATTGGCAGGGATTTCGACACCAAGGAGCTCAGTGTATTGTGCGACATGCTGTAGAAAGCTGGCGCCTCGGATACGCTATGACTCGATGTGCTGTATCTCACCTCCGCACTCGAGCAGTCGGATACATATTTTAGGCACTTGGCCACGCATGTCAATGCGTCCGTCGATCTTGAGCACGGGTCTTATCCCGAATCGGCTCCTATCCTTGTCGCGGACATCGTTCCACGGATGTGCAAGCACATCCCTCTATCGCTGGACGGTCTGTGTTTTGACGAGTACGAGCTGGACGATAGTTGCAATGCGCAGTGTGGTGGCAGGGTGGTGGGGCGATCCGAACTCAAGCAGGCGGTCGCTGAGATATCTGGAGAGGCAGCAGCCAAAGCGAAGGCTTTCAAGGAGGATGCCGGTGAAGAAACCTTTGCACAGCGCTTCGCGGACAAGCGATGCCGCGGTGGCTGCAACGGAGAGAGTGCTGCAGCGGGATGAGGTTCGCTCGCTGGGAACCCCGCGCCATCTGCCGTTCCTGCAGGTGGAGCATCTGAGGCAATCGCGGCAAAGCAGACGACTGTGCGGCGGCTTTGCGGCAACGGGGTGCCCATATTGCGCAACGTGGGTCACCTTCGGTGCGTGCTCTACGTGGCGCAGCCGTGTTAAGGGGCGGCTCATCTACGTGGGGTTGAGGTATATCCAGCTTCCTCTCCACAGAAGGTGAAGGAGGCGTCTGTCCCCTGGTAATGCCTCTCCCAGGCGTGACAGGACCGAGACCGATCATCAGGGAGTGCGGCCGCGAAGTCTGGCAGGTTCAGTGCCTCGGCGAACAATTCGCCAGTCCCCTGGCAATCTCTCTTCTGGCAGATGGAGGGTAGATGCCGCGTGGGGGGCGCGGCCTTGAGAGATGGCGTCGCCGACGTAGTGTTTGGGCAGGTGGCCCGTGCAGTTGGATTGCCCGCGGGCTGCCGGGCTTGGCGAGCCACCCAGGCTCCCTATTCGGCTTGGAAGTGTTCCCGATTCAGCGGTGGTGCAGGTGGCTCATGCTGTGTTCGAAGGCCAAGGTGTTGATGGTCAGGTGTGGTGTTCGGGATCTACCTGGGCAGGGCGTGACTTTTCCCCCGGGGGCGGCGAATGTCGACCCGTTGTCCAAGATGGGCCGTCTCGTCAGGGGGTGGTCGACTCGATGTCGGCGAGAATCTGGCAGCCCCTGGCGCGACAATATCTCGGGCTTTTGGGCCCCCGCCAGTGGCGTGACTATCCCGTTGGGGCGTGGCAATTGTCGGCCCGGTGTGACAGGCGCGGCCGTCTGAGTTCGGGGTGCGCGTCAGCCGACTAGAGGCCGATGTGCGTGACGACTCGCCGCGCAACCGCCGCTCCTCCTGGGCCCAGTGGGGCCATGCAGCATGGCCATGGCCCTGCGAGCCAGTGCTGCCAGGCATGCATCCAGGCGTGCTTTGATGCCTGCCTGGGGGGCCAGCGGGCCACCGGCCGGGCGCGCGTGATTGACTGCGCCACGGATGGTCTGGTCAGGACCTGCGCGCGGCCCAGAGCGCCGCCGCGGGGCGGCTGGATAGTGGCGCCCTGCCACTGGGCGAGAGGATAACCGAAGTGATTCCCAGCAAGCAGTGCAGGCCGTGGCCAATAAGGCCGCCGCTTGGGCCAAGGAGTTGTCCGACTTCCATGCCGACTTTTCTGTTCAGCTCGCAGCGTCCTTGCCGCGGGCTCTGACGCGTCGGCAACCGTTCGCTGCGTGGCCGCCGCGTTTCTCGCGGATGGGCGACAATCTGCGCGTGCTCTACGGGGTGGGCGGCCTCCTCGGATTTGGATATGCCCGCGTCTGCTTCCGTTTGAACGACGTCGGCCTCCGCGCCGAGACCGTCGAGGAGGGCGTCTTGGCCGCCGCGCTGCCCCGCGCGGGGGCGGGCTTGACGTGCGGCCGAGACATCGTGGCCATCAGTTGCGTCATCGCGACTCGCAGATTCGGCCTCGTGACATTGGTTGTCACTCTGCTGACCTTCGTTAGCACCCACTCCTGCCGCATCCTCTCCGGCGGCGCGCGCGGCCCAGCGAGGGGCGCCCGGGCTGTCCAAGCGCGGAGCGCTCGGCTTACTTTCGAGGGGGGTGCCCGAAGTGCCCGCGCGAGTTCGCGCGCAGTCGGCCCGGGCAGCCCCGGGCCGGTGGCCGGAGAAAAGCGGCGGCTCATGCGCCTGGAGCCGCCGCTGCTGCATAGGGCTCCTCGGGCAGCCGGGCGGAGGGCGCGGGCGTCGGCGCCGCGCCCGCGTGCTCGCAGGCCCAGTGAAACGATGGATTGCCCGCGGTAGCGCCGGGGCTTCAATTCCCCTTCACTTCTGGATTGCAAAGTGGTTCCGCTTAAGAGGGCCCGGCCAGGGCGGGTCCTGGGGTCGGGTCCTGGGGCAAGAGTCTCTCCGTGCTCGCAGCGGTTCGAGCTGTGCTCGCCGCCGCGCCGGACCAATTGCAACGTCCGTGATGTTGAGGGGGATGTCCGTGTCGTCAGCGAGACGGCGGACGTCGCCGCCGCGTCGCTGGACCTGAACGTCCAGTGCAGTCCAGTATGCGTGACGCATGGGCACCCAGATCTGCAGCTACAAGAGCAGCCAGTTTATGCCCCGTAACGCGCTCACCTCCACTCGCGCGGCGCAGGTCTGCATGCGCGACGTCGGGCGCCTCCCGGGCGCCTGGCTTGCAGGCCGCGGGGAGCTGGGCCCGGCTGTCTGATTTCATTGATTTCGTTGCTTCGGCGGACAAGGCCCAGGGGGGGCCAGGTGGCCCCGTGCAGGCCCAGGACAGCATCGAAACGTAGATTCGGGATTCCGTGGCAGTCGCCCGCCGACGCCTCCTCGCCGACGCGAACTCCGCCTGGGAGAGAACCGAGAGCGAGCACATGCAGGTGGCATTGGGCCACGTGGCGTCCGTGGCCGGCCAGGGACATCGTGGATGTCGCGAAGATCTTGCTAGGCGCCGCCGCCGCGGCCTCGATGCAGTGCGACAGCTTCGTCCGACTTTCAGGTTTCCGCTTGCAGGCGCGGGCGCCCGTTGAACCAGGAGATACTGGAAGTCATCTCCATGGCGCAGCAATTCGCCTGGGGGTGGCGCCCCCGCGGTGCATGCGGGCGGGGGTGCGCCCTGGTCCTTCTGCCGACGAGGGCCCTTTCGTGAAGGAGGGGGGCCGCGTCGCGGACGTCGTCGTGATGCTGGGGTCGGAGACTTCCGAGTCCGCCGATGTTGGGTGTGCTGCGCCAGTGCAAGTCCCATGCGCGGCCGTTTCCAGCCGCGGAAGTGATCCTGCGCTTCTTCCTCGCTCGTCGTTCCCCCGTCAGCCCCGCGGGGCGCGCGCTTGCTCGCCGACGTCGCCCTGGCGGTATCGCCGTTGATCTCGCCGACTATCGGGGGCGGCGGACGGGGCGCGGCGCCGCGTTGCCCGGCGCGCGCCAGCATGCTGCCCGTGCTACATAATGACAGCACTATAGCACGGACGGCTGCGCGCCAGCGCGTCGACGCGCGCGGCGGCGCCTGTTCCGGGGCGCAGCCTGCGAGGTCGCTCCCGGAGTCGCTGAACACGTGACTCCGGCCATGGCTCGCCGTCGTCGGCCCGGCAGCGCCTGGCATGGCGACGCGGCCGTTGTGGTTGCGCGCGCTTGCGTCTTCTGGGCAAGAGCAGCTGGCCGCGTCAGCTCCGCCGCGCGGCTGCCGGCAGCGCGGGCCCCGCCTCGCCTGCGCCGGATCGATCGGATATGCTCGTGCGTCACCTGTCGCAGCATCTCATCCTGAACCTGCTGTGCAGCATTAGTGCGTGTGCGTCCTGACAGTCGCCGCGCGCCGACGGGCGTGGGCATGTCTGGGCCCGACGCGCCAACGACAGGGCGATTGGCGGCCGAGCTGCGACGATCGCCGCGAGAGTGACCTGACCGCTCGTTCACCGGAGACCGCGTTCGACGCGATCACCATCGAGAAGCCGATCCCTACCGTCAGTGGCCGGCCAGCCTCCCCGTCGATTGCGAGGGCCTGTTTGCGTCGCAATAGATTGGCGCCGCGTGGACGTCGGCGCGAACGGCTTCGTCGCGAAGTTCCGGCGGGCGCGGCGCGCTGGGCGCTCGCCGGGCGTTGCGTGCAGGCGCCTAGCTTGGGCGCTTCATCGCCGCCCGCGCTGCGAGGCGCCGGCGCGGCAGCGCGCCATCGCAGAGGTCAGCGCTGCAGCGCCGGCCGCGCCTCCTTGCGGTCTGGCCAGCGTGCGTCGCGGTGGCTGGGCGCGTTGGCCACGCTGTGCTGCCGGCGCCTGGGCGGCTTCGCGCGACTGAGGTGGGCGACCTGCGACGCTGCGCTGCTGTCGGCCGCGCCCGGCCGCTCGGCATTCATCAGAACAGCAACGCGGACCAGTCAACGGCTGTGACTGATGAGCGCCAGCAGCGAGGAAACACGCTGTTGCGAACAGCTGGGCGAGCCGAGTCTGCGCGCCAACGAAGCACGGCGCGCGGGGGCTCTCCGGCCGCGCTGCAGCGCGCGCGCAGCCGCGGCCGGGTACGCTCGCTGGCACCTAGCCTGGAGTGTGTTAGATGCAGAGCCAGGGGGCGCACGTGGCTGGCAGGCACGAGTAGTGTCGCAGCGTGAGCGCACGCCGTGCACAATTTGTGCCAGGCCCCCCCCGAGCAGAGCAGTGCCCTGCTTCCTGCTGTGAGGCAACATCGGCCAGTCGACTTTGCGTTGGGTAAGAAACCTGTCCCTAGGCTCTCCTTGTTGTGGGGTGCCGCTACGGCCCGCGACCCTGAGCATGTCAGCTCATCCCACGCACGTGATGACCACGTGCGAGCCAACACGGTTCTCCAGGGTTCACGTTGTTCCGTTCGGACTGAGGCTCTTGAGCCATGTGCGGGCTGTGCCGAGCGTCCACTGCGTAGGCCACGCGGTGAAGGCAGTGGCACCTCATTGCGAGTGTTCCTCTGTGGCCTAAATGCTACGGAAGGACATTCTCGATTGCCCAGTAGCCCCGAATCGAATGGGAGTACAGGTGCGTGCCCGCCGCCATTCTGGCCTGCAGTGTGCGCGCGGCATACCAGATGTTGAAAGGAAAAGGACCGCCGCGAATCTATCTTTCATGCTACGACTGCCGCCACGACTTCTACCTTGAACCCCTAAATTCCGCTATTCTAGTTCCTCCTCTTCCTGTTCCTCCTCCAGCTGCGCGCGGGTCGCCCCCACCCGCGGCCGGAGCTCGCTGAACGGGGCCGGCAGAAATTTTCCCCGCCCTTCCAAAAGGCGGCTCCCCTGCGGGTGGCCAACTGCCTGAAACAACGGTCGCTCCCAGGGGGAGGGGTCTGCCAGCCAGGGCCTCTTCTTCCTCCTCTCCTTTTCCTCCTCCTCCTCCTCCTCCTCCTCCTTCTTCTTCCTCTTCTTCTTCTTGTCCTTCTCCTCCTCCTCCTCCTCCTCCCCCTCTTCCTCTCGTCCTCGCGAGGACAAGCGCGCCAGAGTCTCAAGCATCGCGGAGGGCCGCATGGGCTGCCAGGCTGGCACGGGCAGACGGGAAAGTTTTCTTTTCTGCGGAAGGAGAAGAGTGGATTAGGGAGGATGTGGGGTGCGAGGGGCGGAGGGAAGGACGGGAGGGAGGGAGGGGGCAGGTACTTCAATCCTGGAAGTAGGTTGGTGTCCCGTCCACGCGACGTCGACCCTAGCGTGGGATCTCAAGGTTGAACGCCGCCAACGGCATGGAATCGCCCAACACCGAACAATCTGTTCTGTCAGGAGGCTGCGATCGTGAAAGGTCGGGCGTTCCACGCGTTGCCAGAGACCAACGCCCCAGTCGTGATCCCTTCCATGTTGTTGGCTGTGCAGTTCTATCAGGTAAGGGAGGAGGGAATGAGGAAGGTGGGCGGACACAACAGGGAGAGGCCAGCAGGCAAGCGCCACAAACGTAATGAACCACAGGGTTACACAAGAGAGCACCCACACCAGTCGTTCGTGAGAAATATATGGAGGCAGCGTGCTGGTGGTTCGCGTGAGCATTGCGGACGAATGTGGACATGTCTGATTTTTATTCTTTACGCCGTGCTCTATATTCTCTGGCCTCTGCCTTTACTCTCTACTCTCTGCCCCTTACTAGTAGCCTTCGGAACTTCCCTCCGCCGCGCCTGGGTCTTGGACAAAAGGCCTCTCAGGGGCTTCTTGGGGTCTCTTGGGACGCCTCTCGGCGGCTTCCGTGAGACATTTTTGCCCCCCCCTTCCCCCCCCAGGGGCGTATCTTGGGATACTCTTGTAGCGTCTTGGGGGTGCTTGGGGGCCGATGGCTTTCTCTTGGGGGACAACACGTTCTTAGACCCAGGCACCCGCAACCGAGCCCGGGTATCACCACCACGACCACCACACCATCATCATCATCATCATCATCATCATCATCATCATCATCATCATCATCATCATCATCATCATCATCATCATCATCATCATCATCATCATCACCATCATCACCATCATCATCACCATCATCGTCATCATCGTAGCCACTTTGGCTCTAGCATGTGCTGGGTCGAGGGCCATCGGGCCCTCGGGCGCCCGTGCGCCCCCCGCGCCGTTTCCGCCGTGTTGTTTTTTTCGCTCGGATGGTCAGTGCTGCGAGGCTGCGATGGATCGCGGATCAACTCGCTCAAGGGCGCCAGTGTCGAGCTCGACTCAATTCGCATCGTGATAGGGTCATATTCCACTTCGTTCTCCTGCCATACTGGGACGTTGGCATGCTCAACAGTTTTGCGACCTTACTCATCCAGTCCATGCTCACCTCGCTTCAGGATGCCATTGTTGTGGACCACGGAAAAATCCCATGTCTCGATATCGATGCGGCGTGCTCCACCTGCTCACGTCCGTGGCGACGCTGATGCCGACCTTCCTGGAGGAGGAGGTCAAGATGCAGAACCTGATGCACGTTCCGGGGGCGGTCTACCTGAAGGTGCCGATCCTGCTGATCGGGTGCTTGCTGTTCTTGACGTTATGGATCCCCGTGAAGGTGCCGGAGCCGACCGTCGTAGATATGACCTTCGTGCTGGCGCCGACCATCATATGGAGTATCCTCGTGGAGGTGAAGGAGCTGAGGGTCGCGGAGGTGCTGGAGCCGACCTTCGTGGAGAAGACCTTCGTACTGGTGCCGACCGTCGTGGAGACGATCTTCGTGGAGACGACCGTCCTGGAGATGCTGGTGCCGACCGTCGTGGATGAGATCTTTGTGGTGGTGCTGGAGCTGGCCGTCGTGGACACGACCTCCGTGATGGTGCCGACCGTTGTGGAGACGACCTTCGTGGGGATGACAGTCGTGGAGGTGCGGGTGCCGACCTTCGTGGAGATGACCTTCGTGCTGGTGCCGACCGCCGTGGAGGCGTTCCTCGCGGAAACGACCGTCATGGTGGTGCTGGTGCCGACCCTCGCGGAGACGACCGCCGTGGAGACGAACTTTGTGGAGCTGACCTACGTGGTGCCGACCTTCGGGGGTCGAACGTCGTGGAGTCGACCCTCGTAAAGACGATCTTCGCGAAGACGACCTTCGTGATGACCTTCGTGGTGATGACATTCGTGGAGGCGGCCTTCGTGGTGACGGCCGCAGTGGCGGCGACCGTCATGGAGACGACCTTCGTGCTGGTGCCGACTTTTGTGGTGGTGCTGATGCCGGCCGTTCTGGAGACGATCTTCGTGGAGGTGCTGAAGCCGACCTTTGTGGTGAAGACCGTCATGCTGGTGCCGATCGTCGCGGCGACGACCGTCGTGGAGATGGCCTCCAATGTGCTGCTGCTGACCGTCGTGATGGTGCCGACTGTCGTGGAGGAGATGTTCCTCTTCCGGGGTCTGTCCATCCTGATCGTCGGCCTGGCGACCTCGTGCGTGATCCGGTTTGCGGCGGTGGTGTTCCTCCCTCCGGGTCGCCGCCCCGCAAGAAGGCGCGTGGAGAGGGCGGCGATGACGACGATGCGATGTCCGAGACCCCTTGTGGTGCGCGCAGTTGTATGTCATCTGATGCCCCAGTTTTCCCTAGCCTCGCCGCGTCTAGCTCTGCCGAGGTTGCCCCCGATCGTTCCTCAGCGGCGTCTTTCGAGTATCTTGAGGGTCTGCTGCCCGCTGGTCTGAGTAAGGAAGATAAGGTCGTCAACATGCTGTTGCGAAAACCGTGCGCTGCTTCCAATGTCATGGGTTCCTTTGAAGCGCTCTCCGGATACTTTGCTGGGCGTGAGAGTATTCTGAGCAGCCATCTCTGTCGGGGCCCCGGGCTCCCTCCGCTGTCATGGATAGCCATATGTCAGAAAGCTGCGTGCCATGCCGCCTGTGAGAGCCCCGACATCCAGACCGACGCCTACGAACTTCTCTTTACGGTCAAAGACGCGCCAGATTCGGAACCTGGGAGAGGGAAAAAAAACCATTATCGTCATCATCTTCATAATCATCATCATCGTCACGACCATCACCGCCACCGCCATCGCCATTACCATCACCATCACCATCCCCATCATCATCACCATCACCCTCACCATCGCCACCACCACCACCATCATCATGTTCCTCGTCATGATGACTTGTTCGGTTTGTCGCTTCATCTTATCGTGGCCATCATTATGATGGTCCTCATGTTGATTACCAGTGTAGGGCGGTCCTCGGTTGGCCTTCTTTCTGTTGAGCCCCCCTGAGGCACAGCGCTGGTGGCGCTATTAGGAGTTAGCCAGAAAGGAACCGGAGGTCAGGTCCCAGCGCATCCCCGTGACCCCTGTTCTGCACGAGTGCCTCTGGTGTTGGCCGTTGGCCACCTTTGGTCGCTGGAGAGGGCGCGTTTGCACGCGCTCGTTGAGCGCCGCAGTTTTGTTCTGCCCTTTGGGCCTTGCAACAATATAATGATGTTTCCCATCATTATAGTGCAAGTTTGCTTTGTCGCGTGCGCGATGATAACCGCTGGGCTGTGGTTGCCTCTGTTGCCCCCCCCCGCGCGTTTCGCGCTTCCCCTTTTTCCCTTCCTTCGTTTTCCCCTTCTTTCGTCTCGCCCTGCCCCAGTGGAACCAATCGTAGCAATGAAAGGGGCAACTTGGCATGTTGAGGTACCTGAGCTCGGGTGCGCCGAGAAGGTTGGCGAAGTTCCAAGGTTGCACTTCTGGAAGAGATCGCGGGGCGTACAGTTATCATGCCAAGCGCTCGTGAGAATGCCAGCAGTGGTGAAATGCGTCGAGACGGCGCCCCTTCTTGTTAGGCGAGTCGCGCATCTAGTGCAGATGAAACGATCAAGGAAGCAGCGGCCACACTTGACGGTCTAATGTCGAGTATGCAGACGCGCATCGGTTTGTCCGTCGATGCGTACGACGAAGGAAGTTACATATATCTGGTGCCAGAAACGTTTGAGAACCATATTGTGGAATGCGAATCAACAATTCCCAATCCAGACTGCACGGAATTATCGCTGGATGAAATGGAGCACCGTTGCGAGTTCATGCGTCGATATTGTCCTTGGCGGGAGCTCTGCCACAACTTTCACAATGGGACTGGGGGCCCGCTGAGCAGGACAGGCGAGTTTCTGGAATTAATGTACGCACTGCACCAAGTATGGCGGAGGTGATAGGCATCGCACAAACGTATGTGAGACAAACGCGCCCTTTTTATGACGCTGCATGTTCAAACGGAGGGGTTGTATCAGTGGGGCCAATCGTGCATTCGAGCTCGTAAAGCAAACATGTATTGCGACATCTGAATTTGGGCGCTTCGGCGCCCCCGCCGAGCTGTTAGAGGGCCGTCCCCCGGGGCGCGCATTGGCGCCTGTGCTGTCCTGTCCTGTCCCCGCCCGGGGGCGCGGAGGTAACTGCTCCGCGCCCTCTCCCGACGTGTGGGTCAGCGGCATTTCGCCCGCAGATTCGCGGAGGCTCTCCAGGTTTCCGCTGCCGCCCTCATGTCTGTCGCCATCGCCGTCGTTGCCATCGTCGACATGTTCTTGCGCATCCGCAGCCGCGACGCCGTGTGCACGAGGCGACCGCGAGGCGGCCATTGGCGGCAACGTGGGGCAAATATTTGCCGGGCCCATCCAATTTTTGACGCTTCGCGTAGCCCCGCCAGCCCACGCAGCAACGATGCCCAGGCGAGTTGATGCGTGGGGGCACGCAGTGGAACAGGGAGGGGGGGCAGCCTATGCAGCTAAAAGGGGAGGTCGCCCATGCAGCAACGAGGCGCAGGCGAGTTCAAACGTGGGCTATCCTGGGGTCTTCTTGAGGCCCCCTTCGGGTCATCTTCGAGGCGGTCGGTCGGGGAACGGGGCGCCGCTTGTTTCGGCCCCGTGAGGGGTGGCGCGAGAGGGCCGCCTTGTGGGTTGCCAGGGAGCATCGGAGAAGACCTTCTGATTTCTGAGGGGCCTTCGGACACGCCTCTGAGCTCGCCCGTGCCTCCAGTCAAGGCCGCCCCCTCGCGCCAGCCCCTCTTGCGCTCCGCGGAATCTCGGGGGCCGCCCTGAGCGACGTCGGGGCGCCCCTGGGGCCTTCGGGAACCATCCGCGAGGCACCTTGGAGCCGTCGTGCGCCGTCTGGACAATGTCGTGGGTCGCTCAACGGCCGCCCAGACTTTCGGGGTCGCGGGGTTCGTGAGCAGTTCTTGACGTTTCGCGTATCCCCAGCTGTCTGCTGTACAAACAAGAGTTACTGCCGTTTGCGGTCCTATGTGTGACGAGGCTTCCCCCTCTTCACTCTTGCGCTGACGCGATGATTCGACATTTGTGTTCGTCCACTTCACAGATGGCATCTGGGGGTGCTTGTCGGTCTCGTTCGTCTCTGACGTTGCCGTCTGGCTGACTCACGCCGGGTGATCGACCTCTACGTGATTTTGGTCGCGCTGCCGCGCCATTATGGCTGCGTCTATTCGCTGGTAGCCACCAGGATTTTCGGACGCCGCCGGGAATGGGTCTACCGGCTCTCTTCGCCCTTCTGAGCTGCCGCCCGTTTGCTGCGCCTCTCTTGCCTTTCGGCTTTTCCTCCGCTGCCTAGTCGTGGCCCGGCTAGACTTTGGGCGCCTGTTGACCCGCTTCACGAGGCCGTTGACCAAAAAAGTACCCCCAGCTGTTGATCCTGAACCCTTCCGTTGAGCGCTTGCACGCCTGTTCGTCGTTTTCTTCGGCTGCGTGAGGGCGGTCTTCGAGTTCGTCGGTTTCTTGCTCATCGCCATTTTGGCGCTGCGCGTCGACCTGTGGCTCTTCCTGGTCCTCCGCGTTTTGTGAGCCGCAGCGTAGCCCGCTCATGTGCGCTTGGTGCGTAGTTTTGGCCGTTGCATTGTTGCTTCGTTCTGACGGCGCGCGGCTGTGCCGTTTGCGCTCTGCACCTCCAGAAACGATCTCTGGCGAGTGCAATAGAGGGAGGCCAGCGCGTTCGACACGACTCGATCCCGCGGCTGGGGCTGCGATTCCGATCCTATTTGATTCGCTTCCGTTCGCCGGCATCGGCCAGGGCCAGCCAGAGCCAGGCGCTGCGATCCAATTTCGATTCGATTCGGGTCGATTCGGTGGCCATCCGATCCGTTTCCGACCCGATTCGACGTCGCGACGCGGTCCATCTCGGGCCCGGCAGCCGTCGAACCGAAACTGGTTCAGCCTGGGCAGACCCAGGAGTCGACCATAAGATCGTCGCCGGCTCCTTCGACATGGGAGCCTCTTGGAGGCTTGTCGGGACCATCCTTGGGCGCTCTTGGGTCGTCGACTGGCCGTCCGGGCCCTAAAGGTCGCGGGGTCATAAGCTTGAAAGTGGGCCGCGAACTACCAGCTTGCAAGAAGCGCGTGTGCGTGTGCTGCTGGATGATGATTCTTCATGCTCCGCGTGTCCCCACCAGTTGTGCCTCTCGAATTCTGGTCATTTTGCTCAGTGCGTGTGCAGGTGCGAGCTGTCTGTCCGCCGACTCTGGCTGGCGGCGAATGTCTTGCAAATTAGCCTCGCCCGTGGCCCGGACGTCGCCTCCGCTCCCTGACCGTAGTCTCGGGGCCGCTGACCATACAAAAACATACACACACACACACACATATATATATATATATATATATATATCCCCACCAGCCTTTTCTCGACACCAGTCCCTGACGGTGTCTGGCGATCCGGACTCTGGTCCGTTGAGCGCCCGCATGGCGTTGGTCGATGCCTACCAGGGCCTGCGACACGGCCGCCATTTGCATCCGCGGTAGTCTGGTCTTGGCGCTGGATTTCGTGGTGTCTGCCGGTGGCCTCCAACTTTTGCACGCTCGAAGTGTCGTGCAACCTGAATTCCGCCATTTTGGTGTTGCAGTTCGCCTGGAAGGCCTTCCTGGTCGATGGCGCCCTCCTCTGAGCGACAGCGAGGCCCGCTTCCTGATTGTTCTTCCCCCTGCTGTCCTCCCTCTTGCCTTCTTTCCCTTTCCCGTTGCGCGTGCTTTAGACCGCCGCTTAGTTCGTTGCGCCTTTGGGCGCCGCCCGACTGCTCTCGGCGCGGTCGCGATCTTAAAACATCCCCACCAGCATGCTCAGAAACCCTGCCCATGGAAACAGACGGGAAAAAAAGGAGGAAAAGACTCGCACGCTCAAACAAAGCAGACAACCAGATGAACATAATGATCTGGGAACAAGGAGGTGGCTTTCGAAGGTCTTCTCGGGCAATCCCTGGGGCCCGCGGGGGGTGAGGGGGAGGAGGAGGAGGAGGAGGAGGAGG